TTCACCTATCATTTACATCCACATAGATTGGGGATGCATCCCCACTGGGGATGAATAGCATTTTTCAAATTTTGGACATTGCCATTTTTTTCGGCCAATTTTCACTTATTTCTTTCAAATCCATTTTCTTTCATCGAATTTCACATAATAAACGAAATATACAATAAATTAGGCTATAATTATTCCAAAGAACTATTAAATGTCTATATTTTTAAGTTAAAAAATGTGTATAAAAATACTTTTATCAATCCTTAATCAATTAAAATCAAACTCTCAAAAAGTTAAATATAGACCTCCGCCGTTGGATCAATGCTAGAAACAACCGTCAATCCAAAAAGCCAGCCAGCCAGGGAGAACCATTAAAAAACAACATACGAAAAAATTATCAAGACAATTATAAATTCTGATTCAAAGCCAAAAAAAGGTTGACGTTTACAAAATCCAAATGAAATATAAATTATATGTAATTTCAAGCTCAACAAGATAATTAAGGCACAACTGGAAACAACTCTATTTATTTATTTACTTATTTAATATTAATTTATATATAATAAGACAAACATCAAATGACGTATAGAATTATTTTCATATTAATGTTTTGGGGATGCAAATATTACATTTTACCTACTAGAAATTAAATGTTACTTTGATCATCACCTACCCATTTATTGCAATTAAGTTACAAGATCAAATCAGATCCATTCAAAGATTTTTTTATTTATTTATTTTTAAAAAAAGAACATATTGACTTTATGTTAAAACATAAGAAATCTTGATATAAATAAAATCAATTTTTCTAAAACTCTTTTGATTCCGAGTATTTCATTGAATCAAATTAAATCATTTAATTCATTTTTTTGCACTGTTTCGAGGAATTTTGAACTCGTCGCACAATTAACAACCTTTTACTAGTCATATGATTATTTGATATGACACAATCCGACATGTAACTAGTATAGTAACTTAGAGGCTGTTCTCTTTGTGTTTCAGTTTTGTATTTTGAGTATCTATTTTGAGATTGTTGAAAATGTATTTTTTTTTGTCGTTTTGAGTTTTCTTCGTAAATTTTTAATTTGTTTTCAAAAATATGTTTTTGAAGATAGGAAAGAGAACGTTTTTTTACTATTTTGAAAAATCGAAAACAGAAAACGGCTTGAAAATGATAAAGGGAACAGACGCTTAGCCTTTCTCCAAGAGAGTAATGGACAAGTTAGACAATTACAGCCAAGATTAAGACATGCTAACCACCCTCAACGCAACACCATGTATAATCTATTCTATCCTTTTCTGCGTTATGTAGAGTGGGTCATACATTCGATAAAATAATTCGTTTCTCGACTTTAAAGTAAGAGTGAGCTAATGAACCATGTTATCCTAACTCGAGTCATGTTGATAGACTTTCCCGTTTTACGTCCACATTTTTCCGTTGTGGGGTACTATTTTGAGCATAGTGTCTTGTCACAAAAAATATCCCTATCAATGAAGAGTTCACCGACACTTCCGTTGCCGCTAAAGTCATATTATCGATTAATGGTGTTCCCTCAAGTGCCTAGCCATATCCAAAACTCTACAATTTTTTTTTAATTGATATTTTTTATATACGCTATACAACAATTAAGTTGGTATACATTCAAACTATATAATATTTATTATGATAATTATGTATCGGATGGTGTCGGCAAATGACTAACTTTATAGTTAAAATATGAATAAATACAAGACATTGACTCGATGTTCTATTCTATATATGTAAATGTCACTTGCTCTATTGAATAGAGTGATATTTGACAACGTTATCTTAAAAATATTAACATAGAATGTAAATTACAATCATTGTAACTTATTAGATTTCCAAACCCGAGAACTATAAGGACCGGCCCGGCCCAGTCTAGTCGACTCGATTTATGAAAAATATAATTACTAGAAGTTTCTCCTCATTCCAAATTCAAGAATACAACCGATAAGATTGATTGGTACGTGCGCCTCTCTTATTACTTTATTTCTGTAGCGATAAGGGCAGAACAAGCAGTAGTTTTCGGCTGGTGACTTCTAGGGGGAGGGCCCTTGATATATCAATAGAGGGAGCGAAAAACGGGTTTTGTGTAATTTTTTTAATTATATTCTTGCAAATATTTTGGTTATGTAATTTACAATATATCAATGAGAATGTTTAGTTCTTTTCAGTTACAGATTGAAGATTGACAGGTTAGCCAAGTATGGCCTAGGTAGCCTGTAATATTGATAGTTAGCGAAGGGGTCCGATCCACAAAATTTCAAGATGTCATGGGCTAGGTCCGGACCAAACGGGTCCAATCCACAAATTTCAAGATGTCATGGGCTAGGTCCGGACCATTAGGTAGACTAATTCAGGTCCACTACAAGTCTAAACTGGGCCTACATGCATTGGGTCCATCACGAACCAATATTTTCCAAATTCATTTTTAATCACATTCTTCCAATATAATTTTG